GATATGCAAATGCTTTATGTAATGTTTATTTGGAGGAAAATTTGGCTCAGAAATATGGGTGTGACCTCCCTGTCACCTATGCAAGCTGGTGATGTTGGAGGCTGCGAAGTGAAGTCGTGAAGAAATTGGAGGCTTTGAGAGAAAGTGTGGGGTCAAAAAAAGAATGGCTGAGAAATCATACTGTTCAGCTTTAAATTATGCACAAGCTCAATGTGAGCCAAAACTGTGATGTGGCAGCCAGCCAAGCCACTGGGGGCTTAGGCTACATTACTAGAGGTATGGGGCTCAGACTATAGGAGGGGAGAGTGGTATGCTTGTATGCTCTGCTGGCCCCTCATTGTTGGAATCTAACTAAGTTTGGGACAGGGATGAGCAGAGAGAGTGACTCAGAGGTGGAAGATCTCAAAACCCTTTAGCAGGTCAGAAGACTTTGGAGTGCATGGTGTTATCGATATAGGGTCTTAATTTACAGGCCTGCCATACTTGTTCTGGGTGAGCTTCTTGGGCAAAACTGGGACTTATGCATGTTAGTCTCAGCGAAGTGGGTTCTTGAGTTAACAAGCAGGAATTTCTAGCTAGCGTTGTGGAGAAAAGGAGCGGAGTGTCTTACCGGAGGGTCAGCAAGAAGAGGCGGGCTGCCTCGGCCAGACTAGGCCCCCCGGCTGGCCGCCTCTGTCTGTGTGCCGAGCCTCTGCCTGCTGGGTGACTTTGGCAGAGCTGGCTCGGTGACTTTGTCCTTTCTTTTCGGTATGTGCAGAATTGGAAGCGTTGTGGGGGAGCTCCTCCCTTTATGGCTGTGACAATGAATTCGAGCTGCGGGGCCCCTGGGAGGGAAGGGGCGTCTGAAATACAAAGCAGTGGCCCTGCTCCTGGCGTTGATGTATTGTCCCATCTCCCATGATGAAGTTCTTGGCAGGTCGGCTTCTCCCAGGGCCAGGCAGAATCATTACTAGCCGGCATGTCGGGCTGTGAAATTAAAGTCGTTTTGGTTTGCTTTTTTATTCTCCACATCCACTAATTTATTAAATGCCATTAAACGCTGTGCTTGGCCCTGACTCATAGACAGCACTGGAGGTGCTTAGATCTAGCGTTTGAAACGCTTCTGCACAGCAAAGAAGGGGTGAAGCTGGTGGGGATCAAGGCCCAGATTGGGGGGCTCTGCAGAGATAATGAGCCCGTGGGAGTGTTTACCAGAGGGCTGGATGTGCTGGGGCAGGGCCAGCAAGGCGAGCGGGCGGCTTCACAGGCAAATGAGGGGCCAAAGGAGGCAGAGTCAAGGAAAACTTGGGGTCCTAGGAGTGGAGGAGAGGGGCTGTGGGGTCCGGCTAGATTACTAGAGGTATGGAGCTCAGACTGTGGGAGGGGAGAGTGGTAGGCTTTCAGGGAGATGTGTGTCTGGATCTAGGCCTGCCCCTTGGCTGTGGCCTAGGCCCCTTACTCCACCCCTCCTCCTCGCCCTCCTCCCAGCAAGTATTTATGTAGTATCCGGCATGCTCTGGGCCTGTGGAGGAAGAGAAGTGGAGCAGACAGGCCTTGGGAAGCCTGGCGTTGGGCACAAACGGGAAGCAACTGGAAGTCCCGGGCCCATTGCTCTAGGTCCACACTTGGCCCGGGGGTCCCTCCAGAGAGGCTGACTCCATGTGGGGGACACTGTGGACAGCTGTGAAGTCCCACAGGGAGGGACGGCCCCCGAGCTATAAGCAACATGCACATTTTGGGGGCGCTGGGGGGAGATTCTCAAGAGAGGATTTTGCTCTGCAGGGGAAGTGGTGGGCCTCACCCCGGAGAAAAGGCTAATACATAAGGCCACGTGGCAGGGGCATATTAAAACTACAAATCAGCGTGGGTCACACTGAAGGTGAGGATTACTCGGTCAGGCCAGCTGCAAGACTCACCGCGACGGGTGTGTTGTCCCCTCGAACGCCATGCCTGCGGCCTCAGTTTACCTGCTCTGCATCTGTTGGAGGGACCCAAGGGTGACGAGAAGGCTCCTCCTCTCTCCCGCAGGCTGCGTGCGGGGCCTAGCTGAGGGGGGGAGCCACAGGCAGTGCCGGGGGTCACTGTTCTGGGGACTCGGCAGTGCGCACAGCAGACCCTCACAGAGATGGCAGACACCCGTAACGCGGGATGGGAGCTCGTTTCCTCAGCCTCGAGTGTGGATTTATTTGGAATTGAAAATGTTTAGAGATTTGTCAGCTGTGGGGAGGAAGGAGCGGCAAGGGGCGAGGGAGGCTCGGGCCAGCCCTTGGAGCAGCCTCTGGCCAGGCCCCGGCCGCCCTTGGGGCAGCTGGCGACCGAGGCCTGTCGGCCGACCCCCGCCTGGGTCCCAGTGCCCGGAGTCCCCCTGCCTCGCCGCAGTCCCTTCCTGCCTTGGGTGACGATGGCTGATGGCTCGGCCACTGCGCCGAGACAGCGCTCTGCTTTGGGAAGGGGATTTGCCGATGTCTCCGGCGCTTCACCGCCTCTGCAGCGCGGCTTCCTCCCCGCGCTGGCACCCCAGGGTGGCCCGGTCCCTCCCTGCAGCCCCACCTCGCCCTCCCGCCGCCCTGCGCTGGCCTCTGGCCTCCGAGGTCAGCTTCCTGACACCCTGGGCGCCTGCTCAGCCAGCTCCTGCCCGCTGCCGCCCCCTGCCAGCTCCCGGCTGGCGTCTGCTCTGCACTTTTCCCATCTGGCAGGTCACCCCTTTTGGGGCCGGGGTGCCACCCCACCCCGGAGTGAACAGCACATCAGGCTCTTCTCTGGGGCGACAGAGAGGGGCAGTTGGCGTTGGATGTGGCAGGCTAAGGTCCTTGGCCACTGTTCCTACTCGGTGCCAGGTAATTCTATATTCGGGGGCTGTTTGGGCATGGAGGGTGTCCAGCAGCGTCCCTCCCCCCCCCCCATTGCCAAGCTGTGATGTCTTCTGGGGAGCAAAACTGTAGCCAGGGAGGGCCACGGGGCGAGGTGCTGAACACCACTGTGCGATGCCCACGCCCCCAGGGTTTAGGGACAGGTCACCTGGGGGACTGTCTCACCTCAGGTGACTATTTTTACCTGGGACTTAACCTGGGTCCTGGTGGAGCTACAGCCTTGAAGGGAGAAGGGAAGCAGGTGCGGGGACAGGGCTGAAAGCTCTACTCTATGTGAAGTCATAGAGCCAGCTCTGGGGCGGAAGGGAGAATGGAGGTGGAGGGGACCCATCCCCCCTCAGCCCCCCAGGCCTGTGCTCAAGGAGAGGGGGCTTCGGGAGAAAGCTATATGCAGGACTTGCCCAGCACCAGGGTCTGATATTCAGCAGGGAGCCTGGGGGGACTGGTGTCCCCAACTGCAGGGCGCTGGGGCCACTCAGGCCAGGGGCCCCAAAGCCAGGTCTGTAGTGGGTGCCATTCTTTACATTAAGTGTAACATGGCAGCGGCGGGTCTTTCTCTTATTCCACCCAGGGTTCGGCTTTAACGCCATAAATCTTAAGCATGAAGATCATGAATTTCCATGGTATGATTAATGAAAGAAAAATTGAGATGGCAGCACAGAAACTGACCAGACTGAGGAAAGTCAGAATGAGGCGCTGGGTGGAAGCTTCAGCCGCGCACCGGCAAGCCCAGAGCTTCCGAACCGGCCTGGAGCGCCACCTAGTGGCGGCGGCGTGGCACCCATCCCCCCTGAGAACTTGGCACACCCCCTCGTGTGGATGCTTGGGGCCGGAGGGTGCCGCACCTCGGGAGGTCCCCCAGCTCCACCAGGACTGGTCCGGGGTGCCGGAGCAGGGGCCGGCGCCCAGCTGGGGCTCCCAGGCAGCGCCTTCACCTGCCACCCGGCTCAGCAGCTCCGGCCGTTTCCGGCGGGCATCCCCCCCCCCCCCCCCCCCCTGTGACCGCTGCCCCCTCTCCCGGTCGCTGCAGTGGTCCTGCTAGCTCCCCTTCACCATCCACCGGTCTCTTCTCAGCCAGAGAGCTCCAGTGACAACCATGCCGCTCAGGCCCGGAGCTCCGGCACGCTGAGGCCATGCCCGGGGTTCTCGGGTGCCTGCCGGGGCCGCCCGACCTGTGCCCTGCACCCCCCGCTGGCCGCCTACGCTGCCAGCCCCTCCATGCGGCTGCAGCCACACGGGCGGCTTGCTGCTCCTTGGCCTGGCCAGGCTGTTCCCACCGAGGGCTTTTCTGTTTGCTCTTTCTAGAACACCTCCCTCCCCCGCCCTCCAGTACTTCTGTGACTCACTTCCCTCCTTATTCCGATCCCTACTCAGATGCCACCTTTCTCAGAAGCCTCGTCTGAGCATTCTGTTCCCGTATACTTTCTAGCTCCTTCCCACCTTTATTTTAATCCCGGCATATGCCAGCACCTGAACTTCTACGATCTGTTTGCTCCTGTGGGGTCTGCACCCCCGTCTCCACAAGCACGCCTTCTCCAGGGCCGGCGCGCCCCCAGCTCTCAGACTGGGCCTGGCATGTCCCAGGTGGTCGTGTGGGTGTGTGGCCCGAGTGGAGGAAGGAGCCGCCATGCCGTGGTGCTGGCAGGGGCGGTCTGCGGGCCAGCGGCCGGCCTCGGCTTGGTGGGGCGGTCGGGCAGCGGTGACGGACACGAGCGTCACACGCCCCCCAGCCCCCAGCCGGCCCAGGGCGTCCTTTTCTTCCATTGGTGCGAAATTCATTCTTCACGCCCCTGAGAACAGTGGGCGATGCCCCTCTGGTCAGGGCAGCAGGCCAGCAGGCCACGGTGGACGGAAGGTCAGGCTCTGAAGAGGCTCAGATTCCAGCCCCAGAAAGTCCGCTCACACGCGTCCGGGGCCTTCCCTGCTTGTTGCACACTCTCCCGGGTCTCATGGACCCTCAGAGGACTCTGAGGCATGTGGGTCTTCTCAGCTCACCTGACGCATGGGAGGTGGCGGGTGGACGCAGCTCTCGCCCCCGGACGCGGGCGGTGACTGGTGTTTGCGGGGGGTGGGCGGGCGCCCCCCGCCCAGGGGGCCTTGCCGTGTGCATGGGGACGCGCGGCGTGGCTCACGGCTGTCCTTTCTTTCCAGCTCTGTGGCTGCGGGCTGCTCGGAGTGGGCATCTGGCTGTCCGTGTCCCAAGGCAACTTCGCCACCTTCTCCCCCAGCTTCCCCTCGCTGTCCGCAGCCAACCTGGTCATCGCCATCGGCACCATCGTCATGGTGACGGGCTTCCTGGGCTGCCTGGGGGCCATCAAGGAAAACAAGTGCCTCCTCCTCAGTGTAAGTTGGACCCCTGGCATGCCCGCTCCCCCAAGTTTGTAACTCTGCCTTGGATGCCTGAGGCAGGCAAGGCCTGGCAGCTGACCCGGTGGGTACCCAACGCCAGAGAAGTAGCTTCTAGCATGTTCTCTGCCGGATCACATCCCCCTTTCTCATGATCGGTCACCCCTGCCGCTCTCTGGCGCTTTGCTCTGCCTTCCGTCCGCCCCACTCCGGGGTCCCATTCCAAACCTAGTAGCAGGCACGTGTCTGGAGCGGCCCACCCCCGCCCCGCCATGACCTGCCACGCACCCACGCCCGGACCTTCTCTTCACAGTTTTTCATCGTCCTGTTGGTCATTCTCCTAGTGGAGCTGATCTTGCTAATCCTCTTCTTTGTCTACATGGACAAGGTGAGCCAGCCAGGTGTGGCTTCATCGCCCCAGTGGGGGGGGGGGGGGCGTGCAGATCCTGACAGGTTGCACCTGTAAGGAGAGGACAGTGGGACCCAGAAGGCCCAGGTGAAAGGTTCTGGGCGGGGGGGGGTGGGGTCGCAGGAGGGCGAGTTGGGGGTATGGGGGAGCTCATTACGGCCTCGGCGGGGGCTCCTCCACGTGGCGCTGTGGCACCCCTCACTGCAGTGTCCATGCGCCACACATGCAGCCGTGTCCCGGCCTCCCTGCCGGCGGGCTGTGACTGGACGGTCGCCCGTGGGGGACGCAGAGGGCTAACAGCGGAGGGGGCCCCGCCTCCTTTCCCAAAGGCCCCTGACAACAGGGCGGCCGCTCCCAGGCTTAGCTGCACCTCGGGGTTCAGAAGGGTGGGGGGCTGACCCTGGCACCTCCCTGGGATGCACAGCTAGCTCCCAGCCAGACTGGAGAACCTCGTTGGCACTACCAAGAACGACTGGCCAAGGGCTGTCTCCTAGGCTTCAAAGGCTCGGCGCTGCTCAGTGTCCCCAGAGTGATTTCCCTGGCACAGGGAGAGGCCGAGCTGCTGTTGGCACCGGAGACTGTAGTTCGCTTGCGCTTGTGAATCGCAAGAAATAGCAGCAGCCCCTCTGGCTCTCGATCAGACAGCGCCTTCCCCTCTCCCGCAGTGCCGGGGGGGGGGGGGGGGGGAGGTGTCGCTCGCTGTGCCAGTGTCACAGATAAAGCAGAGGCCAGGTGTCAGGCTGGGCCTCGGTCGGTTCACGTGACTCCCCGTGGGACCCGGCTGTGTGTTAGGGGACAGCATGGGCTGCAGATGCTGGGGCCGAGGGTCAGCGTGGCATGTGTGGCTGGGCTGGTGAGCAGGGGGGTGGAGGCCAGCCTGTCCCTGCCCCGGAACATTACAGCCCTGACCCCCACGCTTAGCTCCCCAGGGAGCCAGACCGTGTCCACTGCAGATGGAGCCAGCAGCCGGCACCTACCGCCCCCAGCGCCCTTTCCCCGTGGGGCCGCAGGCAGAGCCGGGCAGGGCCCTCCCCCATCCGCCACACTTGTGGCCAGCAGCCTGGGTTGACCCGGCTGGGGTGGGGAAGGCGCTGTGTCCTTCTGCCCCGCCCCCCCCAACTTACGGCTTCCCTGGACCTGACAGGTGAACGAGAACGCCAAGAAGGACCTGAAGGAAGGTCTGCTGCTGTACAACACCGAGAACAACGTGGGGCTGAAGAACGCCTGGAACATCATCCAGGCCGAGGTGCGCTTGGGGCCGGGCGGCCGGCACAGACTCTGCCCCGTGACTGAGCCGGGCCTGTGCTTTTGGGTTTCTGAGAGCGGCTGGTCCAGCAGGCCCAGTGTGCTGCAGCTAGAGAGGCGGGGGGTGTGTGCAGGCGGGCAGGACCCCGCGCGGGGGTGGCCGGCCAGGGGGAGACTGGCGAGAGGTTCTGTGGGCACAGGGACCCAGAGGGCAGCTCAGAGAGAAGGGCAGTGCCCCAGGCCCTCCCCTGAGGCTTTCCATGAATAACAGACTGTTTTAACAAGAGCCCTGCATTCCCACTCACGGCTGGGGTGGGGGGCGGGGGTTCTGGTTCTCAGAGGAAACTGAGGCAGTAAACCCAGATGCCCCCATCAAGCCCTCAGTAGCTTAGGCCGATCCGTACAGCAGAGCGTGGAGGGGTCATGGGCGAACAGAGGCCTGAGCCGGCTGGCCATGCCCAGTGCTGGCTCCGAGGGTGGGAGGCCCGTGGAGCTGCCCTCCCCCGCCCTGTAGGCCCTCTGAGGCCCACGGGAGGGCGGGAGGCCCGTGGAGCTGCCCCCCCACCCCGCCCTGCAGGCCCTCTGAGGCCCACGGGAGGGCGGGAGGCCCGTGGAGCTGCCCCCCGCCGCCATGAAGGCCCTCTGAGGCCC